GGCACATAACAACAACAACATTTATAACTGTGCCCCTACTCCTTGAACTTTTCTATTGAGGCACTTCCTAGTAGTAACAACAAAAAACCCACACCAAACATCAAATTCTATGTCATGGAGTTGGAATCAACTCACAGTTGACCCTGCAGCAGATTTCAGAGGCTATAAATCCCATGGAAAAGTTTCCCATCTGACTCCTTTGGAACTACTGGCAGATTCAAATTCCAAGAGAGGTATAACCTTTGGGGTTATAGTGAAATTCCTTCCATTCTAGGCCATCAGAGCTCCCTAGTAACAAGGAGCATGGACTCAGGCTTCTGAATGTCTAGAGATGCCACCTTAAGTTACTCTATTACAAACACCAGGGGAAAATATTGGTGAAATTTCTCATTGGATACTAGGTATTCCATTGAGTCTATCAATTTTTAAATTTAAGGCAGAATTGGAGAAGAAAACCACAACAGCACTCGAAACACAGATGTCTAGGCAGTTTCTCTGGCTCTGACTTGACTCAGTTGCTAAAAGGTGAATGCACAGTGATGTCATGTATGTCAAATGTGTATTCGATGATTGCCATTTATGGGCTTTCTGAAATGGTATTTCCAACAATAAGTTTTAATTGTACAAATTCCTATGATGCTTTCTCGGACATCATTTCTATCACTAAGGTCATATTTTCTAAGCACAAATCCTTCTTTGTCTTCATTTATATCCCAATCACTAACAATTATAATAATAAATGCATCTTGATTGCATGTTCAATCAATTTCAGACTGGAGAAGCTCGTAGAAATCCTCAGTTTCTCTATCCTTGGCTTCAATGGTTGGTGCACAGATCTGAATAATTATTATAGCAACAGATCAGTCTTCCTTGTATGCATATGGATAGTATCCTTTCATTCACTGCACTGTAGATCAGGATGTTGTTATGTGCCATTGAGTCAACCATGACTTATAGTGACCCTGTGCACAATAGCTCTGAATCTTGCTCTATCCTAGGTCAATCCCACTGTCTAGAACACATCTATCCTTATTACGCAGTTACTTTGTCAATCCATCTCATCTGGGGTCCTCCTCT